TTTTTTTTTTTTTTGGTTCTGGGGATCGAACTCGGGTCCTTGTGCTTGCAAGGCAGGCAGCAGAACTACTGAGCTAAATCCCCGGCCCAATGCTGTTTTTATTTCTAATAAAAACGTTTGTTAATGTACGTGACTCCTGTCAGTTCCTCGCGTACATTAAAGTGGCCCTGGTTATGAAGAGCAAGCAGGGTAGATCGTTTTTCCAAGGTCTGGCTTGGAAGGATCGATTTCCAGTTCCTGCTTATTTCTGGTCAGTGTTTACTGTTTGCCCTCTGTAAGCCCTTCTGCCTTTTCCATCCTAGGTGGTAATCCATCCCAGGGAAGGCCATCCTGCTCTGCGTGGGAACCCCCTGAGGTCACGGCCTCACACAGATGTTAGTCGGTGGGCTGGCTGGTGGGCTGCAGACCCCCAGCTCCCAGTGGTGAGCACCTGTGGCTGCCTGTGGCACCTGACAGGATGGGGCTGCCTGCAAACCCAGGACTCTGGCTCCTGGTGCAGGTGACAGCAGGGAGGCCAGGGAGGAGCCTGCCTCAGGTATGCATCTCTGACCACTCTGGCTGTAACCTTCTGAATCAAGGATAGCTGTGGGACAGGGATGTGGAAACAATTGTTTATCTCAGTTGACAGTGGCTTCCCCTTCCCTGCACAGGTCCCTGACTACTGGCTCTGAGCGTATCCCCGTCAGCACCAGATGGAGTAGCGCACAGCTCATACTATGTTATGGCCAGTGACTGGCTTCTCCCTTCATGAACCTTCTGGAAAGTTCTCTGGATAACTGGCACCTGCTCTTGTGTGCTTGAGTTTCTCTAATATTGAGAGTGCTCTTATTTGCTGGCCTTGGGGGTGGGTGTCACAAAAAGGTGAGTGTGTCCCCAGCCCTACCCTGGGCCATCCTCTCCCCTTCCCTGAGGCAGTTGCCTGAGACTGCTGGAGACCTGTGTGTATGTTATTAGGTCCTCATTTCTCATAAATGGTAAAAGCAAATGCTTGCCCACATTTGCACGAGAGGAAAGGGCTCTAGGGTATCTCTGCTTTCCTCTCATCCCCCTCAGTGCTGTAGTTCAACCCTCACACTGTCCTAAACAGTGGCTCATGTGTGACCACAGAATATAAAGGAAACTGCGCTGGTGTGGAGCCTCGGGCAGGGGTTGGACACTGAGGGAACTTCCGCTGGGGGCTTTGGACGGGTCCCTGGCTGCCTGCTGGCCTTTGGACAGTGGAAGGCCTGGGCCCCATGTTGCTATGCCGTTTAAAGCGCGCTCCTCTGCAGGTTCCGTCCACGCTCCTGCCTCAGACAAGGGGCCTGAGGTGACTGGGGGTCGGACATGGATGAGCACATCAGAAAAGTCAGTGTGACTTCCCACATATCGGGGCGTCCACGTGTTGTGGAGGCTGAGCTGCAGCTGGGATTTAAGAGGCCAAACAGCCCATGCTGAGTTGAGAGCCGTAGGAAGACTGCCCACTGGTGGTGGAAGTGCAGTTTGGGGAACAGCACCCCCAGCCTGAGGAACGCTGGGCAGTGGGGTGAGCCATCGCCACCCCCATCCCTCAGGGGCAGGTACAGAGTGGGCAGCTTAGTCCCTCTGGGACACGGAGACAGCAGTCTGTCAGGCTTCAATTAGGACTCAGTCAGCAAAAGTCTGGATGCTGTGAGCAGCACCAGGAGCGAGGTGGAGGCCTCTGCTTCGTGTGCTCATGGCGCTGGCTGGTAGACCCCTGCAGATTCTGATAAGCCAGACGGTTCCCTGGAGAGGGTGAGCTCCCACTGGAGCCCCTGCCCCTCAGTCTTGGCTTCCTGGATGCCAGCTGGAAAGGCTGCAGCTTGTCAGGGCAGCGCGGTGGGGAGGGTTGCGTGTGGATGCGCCCCTGGCCCCCCAGGCCTTCCCATCCCCCAGTAATCTGCAGTCCTGCCAAGCAGCAGAGGGTGCTGGCAAGCCCACTGCAGCCCTGGGCTTCCTGGGACACCCTCAATGTGCTCTTCTCAACAAAGGCAGTTCATTGATGTAAAGTGTTTTTGTAAATAGTGCAGAATCTTCCATCAGCTCCTGTGGCCTGAGCTTTAGCTCGGGAGATGTGGCCACAGTGGGCACGCGCGCTTGTGTGCCTGCTGTGATCCTGGCTAATGTCTTTGAAGCCCTGGGCCACAGCTCATCTGCACAGCTAATTAAAATGAGATAGATTTGCTACATACCCTGTGCACACTGCTCAGAAGAAAGCTCATCTGTTCACAGTCACTGAGGGTAGCTCCTCACGGGCAGGTTTGGGGCTGATCACCCAAGCACTCCTGCATGGCTCCCGTCATGCTCTGCGTCCCTGGAGCATTGAGGGCTGGCTATCGTCAGGTGCACAGCCGTCCCCAGGAGCAGGCTAATTCCCAGCTCCTGGCAGGGCTGCTGGCTCCTGCTCCACAAAGGCCGAGGACTGCGATTCCAGCTATTCCAGGCACAGGTCTGAGGACGGTCCTGCCATCTGGGTAGCATGGTCTACATGGTACAAAGGAAGCAGGTGGCGCAAGAATGGCTCCTGCTACCTGCCGGACGGTCAGCCGTGCCCAGGAGGGGGTTTCTGGCAGCACAGACCCTGACTGAGTGCAGCCAGCCCCTCACCCCTATGTGGGGACACGAGCCAAATGACAGGGCCCCTCACCTGTGCTGTATTTTAAGACAGGCAAGTAACGAATCAAACAAGTGGGCTGGCTGGCACCCTGGAGACTACAGACTGAAGGACCAGGCAGAGCTCAGTGCCCGGCGAGGTATCTGAAGGGTGCTGATGTTTGAGACCCACAGGCTGGAGGTGGAGTCCTTGGTGTGTGCGTGTGTGACTTTCTCTGTTCTTCTGCCACTTGCCGGGAGGAACCATATCAAAAGTAGGACGCAGTCTTGACTACATGTTACCAAGGGCAAAAGTTGGCTTTTGAATGTTAAGAGAACATGGTATTTTGAGGCAAACCCTTAATTGGGTGGGTTTCCAAAAGGGCTTTGTAACAGAAATCTAACAGGAGCAGCTCTGAGAACCTGTACACATTACACATGAATTATGGATAAGGGAACAGAGCAAGGTTACTGCAGCCTCCCCTTTGGGCCTCTCAGGGAATGAGTTATTGCTAGACTTTAACAAAACAACTCTGTTATCCTCTGGTCCAAGGGGCTGTGCTGTGCTAATAGGAGAGGGGCCACCCACAGACCTCATCCTTGTCCCTGAGTAGTTGAACCTGTCCCTACCTGCCTGCTGTAAACGAGTCTGATGTTGAGTTCTACTGTGTAGGAAATGACACCGTGTGACTCGAGTAGGCTGATGGAAAGTTAAAAATATAAGTTGCCTTGGCATGGGTTTTGCAAACACCTGCCTTTGCAGGTTATCCTCCCAAGGGTGACCTTGGGAAGGCCAGAAAGGCCACGTGGGAGGAGCCAGGGCGTCAGCCAGGTGCCTTCATCTCTGGCAGACTTTGCACCAGTGCCAGCAGGTTTCAAGGCAGATGAACACGGCCCGGAGGACGGAAGACTGGCGAAGACTCAGTGGCTGCTCAGACTTCTAATCTGCTTGTGGACCAAGTCATCGAGGGACAAAGCTTGGGCCCTTACAGAGTGCTGGCACCCAAGGGCTGTTCCTGGGGGCAGCTTGCTGCCACTACCATCTCGAGGACCAACAAGGCAGCATTTGTGCTCACACTGGGCAAGAGAAGAAAAGATTCAGCAGGACAGACTCAGCTGGGGAAGGGTGGGGGAGCTTTCCCTCCCTTCCTAGGGAAAGAAAAGGTCCCCAGCGTAGAGCAAACGGTTGTTCTGGAAGCCTGCACACAACATCAGAGGCCGAGAGCAGGCCGGTGCCCACATGGCGCCTGCTGGAGCCTGGCACAAGGGAATCTGCCACCACACATCAGAGGCAGCCCCCGTCCAAGTCGCCGCAGGCCCCGCAGCAGCAGCCAGGTAACCATCTGGCCTTGGCCTTGTGGGTGATACCGCGGGCAGGTCTCTGTGGCCCGAGGCACTGTGGCCGGTGCTGGCCAGTGCCATCCGCTCAGGGCTGCTGCAGCTGCTGTTCAAAAGCCATGGCTTGAGTCGGGAAGCAGCAGCAGCAGCAGCAGCCCTGCCTGAACCACTGTCTCAGGTCTGCCCAGTAGCAGCAGCCAGTGATGGCTGTCAGAGAGAGCTGCACCCTCAGCAGGGGAAGCTGTTTCTCCACCGCTCAGAGCAAGGCTGGCCTGCAGCACTGCTGTTTAGCAAGCGGAGTGGGGAGTGCCACCTCGCTATATGCAGGGCCTCAGTTCTCACAGGGTAAAAGACTTCATCTTGAGGGAGTCAGGTTTCCCTTTCAGAAAGGACCAAAACCCTTCTGTGAAAATTCAGTTTCCCTTTGGCAGCTGAATCTGAGCAGTGGGTCAGCCAAGGTGAGATTTCTACTTGATGGGGAAGGTGATGCTGTCCCTGCAAAGACTGCCCAGACCAAGGCAGCACAAGGCCCGGGTGGTCAAACCCAGTCCAGGTCCAGAGAAGAAAGTCTCAGGGAGGTGGACCATGGTCCCTCGGAGACCGTGAAAGATACCCGCTTCCTTTGAGAATACCCGCATGCATGGCCACATGTCCTGTTGCTGTCTCGGGTCCTGGCTGGGACCCCTTTCTGGAGAGCCGGCACCGTGCTGTACTTGGGAGTGGCACTGCATACCCTAGATGGTTACTACAACTCACGACATCAGTGAGTTAAAAAAAATGTTAGTACAGAACTGATACAGACCCAGAAGGTAGTGATGTTTTGGGATGAGGGGTGAGACCCTCTGGCATTGTCTCCTGCTCCCGCTGCAGCATGTCTGAGCCACTTCTGTCTTTGGGGAGCAGGGAAGCCTGACAGGCACAGGGGGCAGAAGGAAATGCAGGTGAGAAGCAGGTCCTCCCTCAGCCAGCCAGTGGAAAGGAGGTGCAGTGGAGTGGACTTGGGCTTGAGCTGTTTTTGTGTCACCTGGCAAATGGTTTCTGCAGCAGTGTTTCTCTTTCCTGGCTGGGGTGTTGTTCCAGGAGGTTCTGGTTTACAGAACAGACAACAGGGGCTGGTGTGTGGGGCCGAGAAACTTTCACAAACCCAGGCAGTTTCCCCGAATGGGAGATGTTGGGCAGTAAGCTGTGCCTGGAATGTTGCTGTACTGCAATGGCCTTTGGCAGTGAATGACAGTAGTTTTAAAGTTTTTGTTAAATTTTCTGGGTTTAATTTCTTTTAAGGCAAGTTTGCCAGGCGAGACTGGAACTGGCAATTCTCCTGCTGCAGCCTGCCTCGTGCTGGAATTATAGAAGTGTGCCACCATGATCTGTAACGGCTGCAAAGCTAGGGCGACTAGACCTGTAACACGGACCACATCAGCAGCAAGTTTCTTTGCTGCTTTGGTACAGAAACGAAATACTTTCTCCAGTGCTCTCGCTTCGTGCATTTTCAGACCATGAGGGAAAAAGCCATGGGCGTGATAGAAACCTCCTAACAACCCCATGACAAAGACAGTGACTCGCTCCATGGAGGCCCACAGGCAGCTGTGCTCGTGAAGTGACTTGAACACCACGGCTGCCTCTGAGGGGAACTGACATACGTCCCTGGTCACATGTCTGCGGCTCCATCCTCCTAGCTAGTTGAAGACAGGTGTTTAAGGACTGTCTTAAGCACTCTGAGGAACTTGCCCAAACCACCAAACCTTCACAACTCTGAACTTGCAGGCCTTGGTTGGGGCAAGACGTGCAAGGCTGCGCACCCAACTGCACCTCCGCGTAGCAGTGGGCTTCCCGGCCACAGCCCTTGACAGGACCGGAAGGCCATGCTTTCCTCTCAGGTCACTGGCACATGATGCCCGCAGTGTGTCCAGTTCTGGTCCTACTGCTACCTATGCCTTCTTTCTCGAGACATGCACCTTTAACTGTGTTCTTCTAGCTTGTTAATAATGGCTGCCCTTATTTCTTTTGCTGTCTCTGGGAGTGGGATGTCTGACAAGCTTTCTTTGGTGACAGCTTAGTGCACTCATTTGGGTCTGCTTTATTTCCCACTAATGTCACAGATCACCTCAGGCCTGGTTTTGGATGTTATCTTTCCTAGTACCCTCTTTAAATCCAATTCAGAAAGTTTGAAATCTCTGGCAGTATATTTATTGTTTTTCTTCATGCTGATTTCTAATTACACTGCACTGGGTAAAGGACTGTGAACTGTATGGCATCAATCCTTGTGCCCTGAGACTTGGTGGCCTTCGTGCGTGGGCATGTTTGGTACCTGGTCTAGAGAATTTGAGGAGGTACAGAACCATAGACACATCTACTGGTCAGGCTTGTTAACGACAGCAGACAAAATCCACCAGGTGGTGAACTGCTTCACCGAGTTGCTGACCTCCCACGGAGTAGATGAATTTTCTCTCTCTCTGGTTCTCTCAATCTTTGCTTTGATACTTTGAAAGTACAGCAGGTTCAGGAAACACGGAGGAGCAGTGTGGTGGCATCCCTTCAGCATGCAGCGGAAGCTCCTTCTCCCTGGGCAGCCCACGAGTGCTGTCCTGATCCTAGCGGCTGGAGGTCATGGCTCCTCCTCAGGGCCTTCCCATCCCTGATCTGTCCCTGGCACTTGGGCAGTAAGTATCTAGAAAATATTTACTTTGTATCCCATACTGTGGCCACAGTACTATAAATTCAGTATGTACCGTGATTTTTAATTACATTTAGAAAGAGTCCCATTATCCCAGGTTTATACTTAGTAGTGGCAGGTTGGGGTCTAAGACCCCCCCCCACTTGGGGTGCAGCTCTGTGGCAGATGACTTGTTTAGTGTGCATGTGGCCCTGGGTTCTATTCTAAGCACCACAGGAAAAAATAAAACCACGTTTGGGTTACAATCCAAAGTCTTGGGCAGCACAGCCCAAGCCCCCCAAAGAGACAGGAGGTGGGAACATGGCCTGCAGGATGGGAGCAGGTACAGGGCCCATGTGGCGCCCCATGGGGCTGCATGGGAGTTGGGAGGCAGAATTGGGCAGAGGTGTTGCTCTTGAGAGAGAGACCAAGCCGGGGACCAAGCCGGGGATCATGTCGGGGATGGAGGATAAGTTCGGTCATGACAGTGAAAGCCACAGGACCCAGAACAGAGGTGCCCAGGAGAGAGAACAGAGAGAGGAAATCAGCCGCCACAACTCTAGGTCTGCACAGGAGGCCAGAGCAGAGCCCTGTAGAGGAGGAAAAGCAAAGCCTGGTCTGGAGTGTGCACCGCCAACCCCAGGGCCAGCTTCCCTCATGTTTGTTACCCACTGAGAACTCTCGTGTGGTTTTAAAATTGGTGTCTCCCAATTTTCTCCCAAATGTGGTGATGCTTAAATACTGTCATGGGGAAAATCCAGCGCAAGGTCATAGTTGGAACCGGCTGTGGTGTCGCAGGAGGAACGGCAGATGGGCAGGGGGCTCTGGAAGGACAGCTGGTCCACTGCAAACTCATAGGCGTGGATCAGCCCCCGGTGCCTAGAGAAAGACAAGCAAGTACAGGTCAGGGCGGTGATACTGCCCTCAGCCCTGGCAGCTACTTCTGTCTTTACAGGAGGCACTTGCTAGTAGCAATTCGTTGTAACAGACATGTCCTTTGGGCGCACTCTGTAATGCTCAGCATCCCAGGATGATTCCACCAGGCAAGCAGCATGGGGTGTGTGGGTGTGGGGGGCGGGGCAGCAGTGGGCAGGCTCGGCAGCCAGGTCAGCAGTCTGATTAAAAAGGCACCTGAGCTCACCGCACGCGCTCTTTGGACTGGCTGCTGGGTCACCAGCAGCCTAAACACAGGACTCACCTTGGAGGATGGCTGGCAAGAGGAGGTCCCCAAGACCCTCTGAAACTCAGGCCCAGGTGCAAGAAGCTGGTCTGTCTTAATGGATAGAGCCCCCCTGCTCCCCAAGAGGCACTTGGTACCTACCCCTGGATCCACGGCAGCCACCAATGGGTTGGCAATATCTGCAAAAACAAAGGCCGCGCCTGGGGGGCCGGGGGATTTCCACTAATGCAATCAAGCTAGGTGTCTCTCTCTGAACAGGCACCAATCCAGCCAACCCTGACCCCACTGACCTCCGGTGGGTGGTGAAGTTGTCCAGGTCACTGTTGCGCACCACCCTCTCGTAGGGCACGTTGGCTGTGATGAGGCTGTGGCTGTTGAAGGAGATGTGCCGCACAGGGTGTCTACAGCCCGCGAAGTAGAGAGGAGAGCAATGGGGTTAGCCGCTCTCATGCACAAGGGAGGTGCTGCGAGGGGCCCTGGACCCCCAGGCCGTGCTCTGGGCCCCACTTCATAAGCAAATCGGATGCCCTCCTGCACTCTGGGGAGTCCCAACACTGTGAGCAGAGACAAGCCAGTTAGGGGAGGGCTGCAAGGCCTCAGGCAAGGCTGGGGCGTTTATTTAGTGGTGATCCGTGAGCTCACCAGTCCTGAAGTGAGAGGCCTACAAGTGACACCTACGCTCTGGGCCACGAAGGCACATGCAGAGCATTTTGGAAGGTAGCAGCTTCAAGTCTAACAAGTGTTTGCTCCTCTAGAAGCTTCTGCAGCACTGCAGTGGTCCTGGCACTGAGCTAGGAGGCACTAGGAACACAAACGCCTCCTACTCGCAGATTCCCGTCCTCTGGGACCTGCTAGTCCCACCCAGCACAGCCTGACCTCCACAGCAGGGCAGTGACAGGCTGCCTCAAGGGGACTGAGAAGGAGCACCTGGCAGAGAGGATCCGGAGAAGCTGCCCACAGGCCAGGGGAGGGGACACAGGGCAAAGGGTGGACAGGAAAGAGACCACAAAGGAAGGACTCGGTCTCAGATGGGAGGACTTGCAGGCGTGATGAAGAGTCTGAAGCAGATGGGGAAGGGCATGAAGTAACCAGGGGGCAGCAGAACTAGAGCTCAGAGGACTGGGACGGGAACATGCTCGGGTATGGAGGGCTTGCACAGGCTGGGGAATTCCAGGCAGGGGGTTACGGAGAGCAGGAGACACTTGCTAGGTGTGGTCAGTGTCCCGGGACAATCCCTATGGCTGGGGCAGGACCAGCTGCAGTTCCTAAGGCCTGGACGGAGTAGGAGATGCCTCCAGGCTGAGAGTCAGCTCTTTAAAAACAGAATTAGGATGTGTTATGTACGTGTGCCAATCCCTGTGACGCATGCAATCATCATGTATAGCAAACATAATACATGTAAATGTGAACACATACACACCCTACCAGGTTTTCCTCACAGGCAAAGGCTTCAGGATGCCAGCATGGGTGTTCTGGTTGCCTTCTGGCACCACCTGGTGGCACTATAGTGTATCACCATGGAAATCACAAAAGGGCCTGTCCTCAGGTTCCGGTAAGGAAGAGATGGACAGCGGGCTATGGTGGTGTGGACACCCACTCTGCCCACCGAGGAAGAAGCTCTTCGTTTCACTTTGACACCTCTTGGGACACTAAATATGGTTCAAGGACTCAACAAACAAAGGTTACACTGCTCCTCAGAGGCCGTGCTATGTTGAACTCCAGGCCCGGCTGCCTGTGCTTTAAAGGTTAAGAACAGGCTTGCACAAAACTTTTGACTAGCTAAGCACCTTAGTGTACATGTACTTATAATCTGTAAATAATATCTATTTATCTCTTGAATATTCTCATTAAATCATTAGGTTAAAATGATAAATCCCTCAGTTGAAGCCTAACCATCTTCAGTCCTAAGCTTGTTTCTAAACAACGTGAAGAAAGCCCAAGGGTGGGCAAGGGACTCTGGAGTGGGGGTGGGGGCCTGCGCCAGCCCTTCCTTCCACCTGAGGGCAGGAGTCGCATCATGGTCTAGCCCAGATGGCTGCCTGGATCTCTGAGTTGCCTTTTCTGTGTAAGATGGAGGAATTCTAAAATAACCAGAACAGCACTTATGAGAGCTCTGGCTATTAATGACTGCTATGAATTAAGCGATACTAATGACTTGAGAGAGGAACTGCGTCTCCATCGACTAACCCAGGGTCCAAGCCCTGATTTCTCATCGGAAAACTGGAGAGGGTAGCAGAAACAGCAGCCTGCTCATGGGGCTGGAGGAAGGTACACTCGGAAGCACTGGTACAGTGTCCCACCCAGGAGACCTGAACTGTCAATTCCTGATACTGCTGCTCCTAAAAGCACCCGAGGAGCCACCGTACCTGGAATGGACCTCCCACAGCTTCTGGTTCATCCGATAATCCCACACAGACACCAGCCCTTCTTCGCCTCCACTGACAATTTTCCAGTCATCCATCTGGATGGCAGAGACCCCAAGCTGGTGAGCGGAGATCGACAAGGCGATTTTATCAGTGCGAAGGTCATGGATCCTCACCCTGCAAGGCCCAGGAAGAACAGAGACGGCAAGAGGGATTGGTGCTAAGCCTGAAATTACAAACTCTTAAGTTGTGCAGGTCTGTGCATACTGTTTTTAGGTGAATCGCCTTTGGTTGCAAATATCTGTAATACTGAAGTCAAACTATAATCTCCTGATTAGCACACTGTCATAGTGTAGAGTATACACAACCACTTAATCATAAGGATTTAAAAGCTCACAGGACAAGACTGACCTAAGACAGGGACATTAGTCATGCTGCTACCCACCTGGTCTGCTCAAGGGGACACCTGTGTGGGGATGCCACATGGCTGCTGGCCTGTGAAGCCTGCCCTCTGGGAAGTTTACCGGTGCAGTGAGTGTGCTGGTGGCATAATATTCAGTTAGGGGCCAGAGTAATTGGCCTCCGCCTGTCTGCCAGCCTAGCCCTCTCCTGGTTAGAGAAAACTATGCAGGCACTCGACGTGGTTGGTCCAACGCCATCTTGTTGGTACTCAGAAAGAGGACATAAAACCAGTAGAATCACAAGTGTGGACAGTCTGCAGTCACTTAACTGGAGACCCAGTAATCTGAATGCAAGGACTGCTTTAAGAAGTGCATTCTATATAAGTACATACTAAATCCCACAGGATAAACTAAAGGAGTCAGCAATCTCTTATCCACTAGAAAGAGCACTATGCTTAGTTCCTGAAATAAGCCACTACAGTTAAACTCTAGTGTGGCAAAAGGTAAGCAAATTAAACTTAATGAGTATCAAGGTGGATTTAATAGACCCTATGATGTGAGGAAAAGACAAGTGCTGCCCTGAAAAGACCCACAATCATATGTTAAACATGATCATAAATGTGTGCTTCACACCAATCTGTGGTGAGACACATTCTTCCTGAGGCTGTTCGGGTGAGCACACACATTATTTTTAGTGTTCCAAGGGGAAATTATTTTGAACCAAAAATCCTGTGCTTAGCTTACCTACCACATTTGAAGGCAAAATGAAGACTTAAAAGATAAAATACTCAAAGTAAACTACCTATGGGTAATTTCTAAAAGATAGCGACGGCAAAACAGGAGAAGGAATGGGAGGAGCCGACACACCTTTCATTTCCTCATGTGTAAAGCAAACCCTAAAACCTAGCGCAGGGCACAGTGATTCTGGAGCAGGATGAGGGTGTCTGCCAAGTGCGACATGGCCACACATTAGCAGCAGCTCCCAGGGGATCACAGGACACGCTGCCTAGGACAGCACATGGGCAAGTGACGTGCAGTCAGGCTGCAACTCTGTACCAGGAAAGGGAGAATTTTACTTAATGTTTGGTAAAATTTTTCTGGAGGAATGGACCTAAGTCCTTTTTTAGAGTCTACTTGGGGTTTCTACTTTTGACTAAATTTTCTTAAATCTCCAAATGTGAAAATTTGGATGGATAAATAACTTTCTAGGAAAATAGAATAAAACCACCCCAAGGATACATAGAAAACTGAAATAGAGGAAGAGATCAAGGAGCTACAGTCCTCCCAAAAAGGGGAATAAGTGACACCAGCCAAACCTGTAAGAAACAGGGACTTGCTGGGCTACGTGAACAGCCCCAGAGCTCAGGGAAAAGGAGGACGCTCCCAAACTCTGCTATCACTCACATCCCTACAGCATGAGCACGACCAGCTACACAGCTGAGGAAAATGCCAGCAGGGAGACTGTGTCATCCCACTACTACTAACCCAGGCCCACAGGACCATCACACAGTAACAAACCCCCCTGCCACTCCCAGCAGAGCCACAAAAAAGTTGGATGGACTACAACACCCATTGCTAATGAAACTCTTTAAAAAGAGAGGCACTAGCACCACAATTCACATTGTTTAAAAATTAGCTACAACTTGACAAAAGAAAATAGGAAAGGTATAAATTTAAAAAGAGGACAAAATTATTAACAGAGACGACAATCCAAAAGAATTCTGTAATAATGCAGAATCAAGTTAATATGCCCAAACCAAAGCTATAGTATGTACAACCACTAATCTTAAAAAAAAAAATGTAATCAAAGAAAAGATCCCACTTCTGTAATAGCAATTAAAGGCAAACTACCCTATAATAATTTTCTCAACTTGGAACTCTACTAAGTATATTACAACAAAATAAATTATATAAGACTCAAAAGAATTGAGCATAAACTGTAAAAATATTCTAAACATCATAAAACCCAGAGGCCAAAAAAAAGATTTATAACTTTATGTAACTTTTTTCCATATGGGAAAAATCATAAAGCAAATGTTAAACTGGGGAAAATGTCTATAACTGAGAGCTACTTATAATGAACTCCTTCAAATTAACAGCAAAGACTGACAACTCACAACTGAAAGAAAAAATTCAGAGAAAAGACTAATGGCTCTTAAATATGAGTAAGAGAAATCATACAAAAACAACAATGCACTGTCATGTGTCAACTCTCCGCCGAGCAAAGATAAAGACCTGCAACACATTCAGGAGGGACCTAGCAGTGGTCAGGCCTGGGTAGATACAACTAAATACATCTGCTGTAAGCACAAGTCTTTCTTTAGGGAGTGATTTAGGAAGATCCTGCAAAAATAACCCACACACTTCACTTTTAATCTAGTTGCTGTACTTGTAGGAATGTATCTAGCAGGCACCTGTTCTTCACAGTGCTTTTAGCAGCAAATCACGTGCCTTTTTCTGACAACCTGCAGACCCTCCACTGTACATCACTGGGGAAAATATAACTGAAGTCCTTTTAAATGCACAGCTGAGGGTACAGTTCCCCATTGAACACCAGAGGTAGAGTCTGCACCCCCTGGGGTACAGTGAGGCTGCTGGCAGGGCCCCTACCTCCAGACCAGCGGACCTGGGTGGGCCTGGAATGCAGGGGCAGGGGCCTAAGCACACAGAGACTCCTGTTTTTAAAAAAGCTCTACTAAACCTCTATGAATAGAGATGAACAGAAGTAGATTAGATAATTTGTGAATCAGAAGATAAATTCTAAGAAATTACCAAGAAGAATAAAGAGATTAAAAATGAGAATGAGGAGTTAAGAGACATGTGAAGGACAGAAGGGAATGGATCGGCGTATGTCCTAAAAAAGTTCCAGAAGGAGAAGAGTGTGGCAAAGCAGCAACACTCAGTTGCTGGCTCATCTTTCCCTAGGGTTAATGCACATCATATATGCTCAGGCTGATAAGCACTAATTAGAATAAAAAGGAACACATACCTAAGAGTGTGATTTTAAAAATGTGAAAAGACAGGCCTTAACGGTGGTAACCTAAGGGAAACAGCATTACCTATTAGAGAATGATAATTAGATGGGCACGAAGAATTGGGAACATTAAAGTTGTCGTGAATTTGAATGACTGGATGGGGATGGCACAATTAAGCAGCAGATCCACTGTGTTGGAGGCAGCCCACACCTGCCAATGGGCGCTTCTCCAGCGCGCTTTGCCCGTGTGAGCAGGGGCGAGGTCACGGTGGACCGCATGCAGACAGTGCCTGGGGAACACTGTGCAGCCAAGGGGGCCGAGCCTGTCCTCGGTGTCACCCGGTGCTTTTGAGTTCAGCCGTGGAAGCGGGTGCTCCCTAACAGCGAACAGTTCTGGAGATACCGCTCTGGAAGAACACACTGAAGTGTTAGCAGCGGTGACCCCGGAGAAGTGGTGTGGCGATGGAAGAATGAGAGCCATGAGGAGGCTTTTATCTTTCATCCTAGACACTGTCACGCTGTCTGAACAGCATGAACTCATCTGTGATGGGGAGGGGACCCAGGCCTTCAAGGGTCCCGGTCATGCAAGTGCTTGTTATTCTTAAAACCGCACACTCTTACTGTATACATCCCCATATATATGCTTTGAATGTTTAAAGCAGTGTATTCATCTATCTCTTAGGTAATGTGAAACGAAGCAGGATGTAAAAGCAAACACGGTCTTACAACACCGAGCAGAGATCTGCCAGCCCTTGGTTAGGCACAGCTCCCACGAGGTGATGCATGTGCACAGAGGCCCAATGCTAGGGGGGGACCTGGGACCAGAAAGGCAAGGAGCAAGCACGAGACAGGCTCTGAGAGCCCAGACCTCCCTCTCTGTCCACGAGTGACAACACCTACCTTCAGGCCGGCAGGTAGAGACCCAAGGCTGTGCGGGCAGAGGAGAGAGAAGCAGTACAGAGGCAGTAGGACAAGTGCTGCCTCTAGACCGTAATGAGGACTTGGTAAGGACGGAATTGGGGGCAGGCAGAAAATTTTAGGACAAGTAATTTTCAGTGCATGTTTGGTTACTAAGGGTCTGTTTTGCTGTGGTGATTTCCATAAAGAGCTCCTCTGTTGAATATTTATACTCCATAATTTACAGTTTGGCTGTTAAGGAGACAAAGGCAAACACAAATTTGGTCCAGAAGTTCAAAGTTTGCCATCTGTTTTCCTATTGTATTTAGATACCAGCATGGATGGCTCCAAACAAAATAAATAAATACACCCAAGACACAGCAGTAGTATATTTGATATCACTAAGGAAAACAGAAATGGGCCAAAACAGGCTTGAACTTCTCCCCACAGGAAAAAAGGAGAAGTATTTTTCTGACATCTCCTTAGAGAGGCAGCACTTTGGCTCTTGCTGACAGACAGAAACAGTAAACACCAGTGTGCTAAGTCCACCCAAGTCATCAAATTCACATTAAGAAGCAGGTATCGGCATTGCACATCTGACATGTGCAGTACCAACTTGAAATGCAGGGTACCTTGGCAAAGCCTGTAACCTCAGAGCTCAAATTGAATCCTCAATGCCGGGAAACAGGTAGCACAGCAAATGGGCACAGAGATATGCCAGGACAGCTGGTTCCAGGGACAGAAAGAAGCCAATGGTAGATACTGTGAATCTCCATCTAGTGAGTATTTCATCAACTTTGCCCACTGAAAAGAAAAATAATTGGTCCAAAAGCTCTAATTGTATTATGTTTAATATTCATGGTTGGGCTTGGAGGACTGTTCCAACACTCGCTCTCTTCAGCCCC